AAGAACAAAGTTGGAGGCATCTTTGTTTTTTTAGGCAAGGCTAAAAATTTTGGTATTGTTATCAAAACACATATAGACCAATGAAACAGAACAGAGGCCTCAGAAATAACACAACACAACTACAACCATCTGGTGTTGGACAAACCTGACGAAAGCAATGGGAAAGGAATCCCTATTGAATGGTGTTGGGAAAACTGGCTAGCCACATGCAGAGAACAAACTGGACCCCTTCCTTACACATCATACAAAAATTATCTCAAGATTAAAGGCTGTCATGAATTTAAAGTGAGACCAAGCAATGTGGTTTCAGTGTGAACTTCCCAGAACCTGAGTCATGTAAAACAAATGAAGAAAACATTCTCAGGAAAAATTAGTGGAAAAGGGGAGGCTTGGCTTCTTGGGTTGGTAAGAAGCCAAGGCTGTGATCTCTAGCAAAGCTCACACAATCTATAGGCTCTGCAGGCTCCTTGGATCCCTCGAGGCAGCACACGACTGCAGGTTACACCTCGGCTGTGTCTCTTCATACTGACAGCCATTTGTTAGTAACCGACCTGGTTTGGAAGGTCTGCCATGGGCGATTCTGGCTGCATATGTGTGTGCAGACAAACGGGCCTAAGAATCGAAGGGCGGGACTGCAAAGCAGCTGCAGGTGCTGCTGTTTGAAGTCACACGGAAGCTAGGGCTGAGAAGGGAAATGGTAAAAAGGATTCAGAAAATGTGGGCATGGCTTAAACATGGTTGAGCAGTAACGCCATACTTAGGAAGAAAAGAACAGTAGTAGGTGGCAGGTAGAGCACTCTTCCCTTTTTAACAGTTCAATAGTTTCTAGAACAGGTGGTTTCTAGTCACGTGGATGAGTTCTTCAGTGGTAATTCTGAGATTTTGGTGCACCTGTCTTCTAAGCAGTATAAACCATACCCAATGTGTAGGCTTTTATCCCTCACCCCCTTCCCTCGGGTCCCCAAAGTCCGTTATTCTTATCCTCTGCAACATGCCTGCCTGTCCTCAGAACATCCCACAGCTTACAGGCTTATCTTTGGGCTTTATTCCAAGAACAAGACAACTTTCAAAATGGCCTTGTGAGAATGTTTGCTTTGGCTCCAAGGCCCAGTAGGGAAGATAGATAGTGATGTGGAAATTCCTAGGCTAGGAATTTCCTTGCTAGGTTAAATCTTAGCGAGCGCCTGGCTAAGCGACTTAGTAACTAGCCGCTTATTAAATGCATTTTGAGTGGATGAATGGTCCAGTGGAACACACCTTAACATACTCTTGAGTAAAAAGGCATGTGTTACTCAGGGTCGTAGTTGGTGGTCAAGCCAACACTGAGCCCTAGATCTCACTTATTCAGTCGGCAAGCATACTCAGTGTGTGCCACATCCCGGGAACTGGGTTGTACTGGGCTGGACACAGGGGCTACTAGTAGGCTCCAGGCAGCGGGTTTTGTTCCCTCCTCTGCCACATTCTCTCAGGCAGTACTGGAGTCTTTTTTGGAACTGGCTGCTCCAGGTCTCTGTTCAAGGGCTTCTGCCTCCATGTCAGTGTTGTGAAATTTTCTCCAGAGGTGGCCTGGAGGCCAAGCAGGTGTGGCAGTTCTGCAGCAGACGCATCTGCTACAAAAGTGGAAGATGACTCCTTTCTCCATTGGGTCCTGCTCATCATCCCTGTGACTGCCTTTGGCTTGGGGACATGGCAGGTAAAGACTGGCACCTGGTGGGGTAACTCTGGGCCCTTGACCCTGCTGCCATCTGCTTGGGCTTATGCTCTGTCATTGTAGGTCCAGTGTCGGAAGTGGAAGCCGAACCTGATTGCAGAGTTGGAGTCCAGAGTTCTGGCTGAGCCTGTTCCTCTGCCTGCAGAATAAGTGTGTGGTTGTGCCCCTGGGGCTGATCTCACTTGAGTTCAACAGTGGAGCCCTGGTTTCTGCTGGGCAGCCTGGCCCTCTTGGCAGGACTTTTAGTCACTTCCTTGACCTCAGATGAGAGCTCTCAGTATCAGTCATCCTGTTGGGCTTGTTGTTGACATGTGACTGCCCTTGTGAAGGTACCTGAGCCCACCTCCTGACGTATGGAGGAAAGTCTTATTTGGGGTCCTGCGTGTCACTCTTTTTTCAGCAGGTGTTGTGAACTTATCCTCCACGGGGCCCAAGGCCCTGTCGTTCTCACTGCGAGGGTGGTCTTTTGAAAAAGTGCCCTAAATGATTTGACTGCCCTCTCCCTAGAGTATTCCCTCAGAGGCAGGTAAATCCAACCAAATGTTCCATCGAGCATAGCAAACAGTATGCCAGATTCGGCTTGTGGATGAGGTTTCGGCCCACACGTTTTAAAACATTTCACATGAAATATTCATGGAGTCGTCCAGATTTTTAGCTTCTCTCGTAGAGTTGGACTCTGGGAGTGCAGATCCGCATCCCCACATGGCATCAAAGGGCCAGTTTCCCTTTAGAGAGGATGCCCTCTGTCTTTCTCCTTTTCTTGTCTGGCCCTGTTGGGCTGTGTAGTCTGCCACCCTCATTAGGGGATTCGTTTTGCGGGCAAACCTTGCTCAGGCACTTCTTGTCTTGATGCAGCCCAATGGAACTGAAAAATCTGGAGTATAGGCCAGCGAAAGTCAGGGGGTGCTTTGATCACTCCAAGGAGCTGTATATGATGCCCCGGACTATGGTGGACCCTGCCTGGGAGGCCGGCCGCATCTCCTCAGCTGAGACTGGAACCTATGTGGCCACTCCCTTCCAGTGTACCCACCTAGGGTGAGTAGGGCATGTGGGAGCTGGCTGTCCTGGCAGAGGCAGTCAGGGTAAACTAATTTACATCACTATTTCCTTCACAGTCCCTAAACTGGGTAAGACCCTGGGAAACCCAAGATACCCAGAAAATTCGATTCCTTGCAGATTTTAAAATCCCTAATAGTGACATTGACTTAAACTTCTCAGCTAGCTCATTATGACTGAATAATTTCTGTATGTTGACCTCTCAAGCGGAAGGAGGGATTCATGAAATGGGGGCCCCTTCTCTGAAGAAACTCTCTAGTGGCCCACACATTAGATGATGGCAGGGTATAAGGAGGAGCCAAGGAGAGGAACTTGAGAAAGGATCCCAGCCCTACCTTCAGGGAGTGGAGTCAGGGATGGCTCCCTTGGGGGCTATTTGGAAGTTAAGAGGCTATTTGGGAGTTAAGAGTTAAGGAAGAACATTCCAGGCAAAGCAAATGACAGGTACAGGAGCACCCGTGTGATTCATTGAGGAACTGGAGGATTAATGTACAAATGAAAATACCTGGGGCTCTAGTTAGCCCATGGGTTCCTGTTTTATGGCCAGGATGGGTCGGTCCCAAATGCTCTGTCTCCAGCAGGCTGGGATGCCAGGGCTTCTCCTCACCGCTGCCCCTTTTATGAGGGATTGGAGGCAGCCATTGCTAGTTCAGGGAAGAGGTGTGGGGTCTCAGCTCTGGCATTGCAGTGGGTAAAGCACAAGGAAAGAAGCAGAGATAGAGGGGAAAGCCACGTTGGTAAAAAGGTGGCGAGGTGGCAGGGAAGCTTTTACTAACCAAGGGGCCTCAAGAGAGGAAGACTGTGTGTGGGACTGCCAGCACTCCACTGAATCAGTCCTGTTTTAAAAGACTTCCTTGGTGCTAGTTGTTTCTATGGGTGCCTGAGTAACCGTGAGTGACCGTTTTTATTCAGAAACCCTTTCCACCTGGTAAATAGAGGGTTGGTTCCCCGGGAGAAAGTGAATCCTGAAACCTGGCAGAAAGGCCAGGTAAAGGACATGGACACTTCCTGCTTTAGGGAAGGCTCTGGGAGTCAGCCAGGCTCCATGGTCTCTCACGTTCCTTTATAGATTGAGGGAGAAATGGACCTCGTTGGAATGGTGAGGCTGACAGAAACCAGTAAGTCTTTAGTCCCCGAGAACAATCCAGAAAGGAACCACTGGCATTACGGGGACCTGGAGGCTATGGCCAGAATCACAGGCGCAGAGCCCATCTTCATTGATGTTGACTTCAGTATGTCATGACCAGCTCACCCCAGAACAAGTAGCTTTTGTGAATACTGTCCTTCCTTCTCGTAACCCTCATTACTTAGTCTGTTGTGGCATACATTCTCGCACGTGTATATGGGGCAGGTGGCAATTCAGCAAAGGGAACCTAGCTAGGCAAGTACTGAGGGGTCAAGGCCAAGGTAAAGGCCACACAGGATTTCCAATTAAAATGACAGCCACTAGGAAGTAGTGCAGATGCTGGCAGGCAGCAGACGGTGGACTTGAGTCCACAGTCTTTGCAGATAATACAGTCCCTGAAGGACCCATAGGAAGGCAAACCAGAGTCACTCTGAGGAAGGAGCATTTGCAGTACGTCAACCCGTTGAGTCCCAGGCGGCCCTCTGGCTCTCTCCCCTTCAGGCCAGCAGTCCATTAACACTTTCAACCTAGATATGGACTCTCTGCAGCTACATCATACCTGTGGTTTAAGAAATGTGTATGTGGAACACCTGGTGTGTGAAACCAGCTGCTAAAGCCCTATCCCTGAATAATGACGTATTTGAAAAGACTACCTTTATGCTTGATCATGTGCTACTGGGATGAATAAAAGTTCGGGGCCTTCTACTTTGCACGAGCTCATGACTGATCATAAAATCCTGGCTTCGTTTTGGTCAGTCCAAAGAACTTTCGTAAAACTTAACATGAAAATTACATCTAAGGAGCAAAATGCCTGGTTTAAGAATGTATAAGGGTGAGAAGGGCTGGGTGCAGCGGGTCACTTGAGGTCAACAGCTGAGACCAGCCTAACATTGTGAAACCCCGTCTCTACCTGAAGCACAAAAATCGGCCAGGTGTGGACCTGTAATTCCAGCCACTCAGGAGGCTAAGGCACCAGTGTATCGTCAACCTGGGAGGCAAAGGTTGCTGAGATCATGCCTCTGCACTCCAGCCTGGAAGACAGTGAGGCTCTTTAAAAAAAAAAAAGCTATACTTGCTAACCCCAAGATTCAACCCAAGATACCCACAGACACTGGCTGAAGGAAAATTTGCATTAATTATTTTTATTTACAGAAACAGTTATTTACATTTAACCCAGTTTCGTGGCAAGTTCTTTAGCCTTTGCCTTTTCTAGCTTGGCAATGCGAGCCACAGACTTGGGACCCAGGACATTGCCTCCCCAGTGACGCCGGATCTGAAAAGACAAAAACAGGGTGTCAGCTTAGCCTGTTTTCTGAGATTTTCAAGGTTATTAGTTGCGTTGTTCTGTTTGGCTGTTCCAAGTTGATTGCCAAATACAACTGCTCATGAGTTAAGCCAGCCAGTTGTTTGGGAAAAAGATTAGCACATGACAGTATTTTGTGTAAAGCTGATCTTACCTCATCGTATCTGTCATTGTAGTTGGTGCGAATAGCTTCCACCAGCTTAGCCAAAGCACCTTTGTCTTCCCTAATAAGGCAGGAGGGAACAAAAGTGGGTTTTTGGCCTCTGTTTCCCTTTTAGAACATGTGTCTTCATTTTTAGCTCAAGACAATCTTTCGCTGAGATGCAATGTGACCACATGGTTTACTCAGGTGAAGAAATTCTTAATCATCACTGGCAAAAGTTCAGATAAACGTTATTTCTTAAAACTAAGACTTCCTTAAGGAAAACAACTGTGAGGCATGGATTAAATGCACTGGCGAAGTCTGGGGCCAGGCTGTGTACTTACGGATCAACGTGTGTGAAGGCGACAGTGGTGCAGGTCTTCCTATGAACTAGACGTCCCAGTCTTGCCTTACCCTTGATGATGCAGTAAGGGACTCCCATTTTACGACATAGGGCAGGCAAGAAGACAACCAGCTAAAAGAAAGCATTAGTTGAACGGTGTATTTTCACCAAAAGCAGTACATTTCAAAGCTAGCTTGGTAGCAAGTGCTCAGGGTTAAAAAGCTCATGGATTTGCACTTCAAGGTTAAATTCAGTGAGAGATTCACATCATTGCAAGAGCCACGCATGAGTTGGATCCCTTGTCAGTACTGTCCTCGCCATTAGGCCTACTCTCTTCCTGGCACTAACAGAAGCCCTTGGATTAGCAGTCAACAGGCAAACACACCTCAATGGGATCCACATCATGAGCAATAACCACCAGCTGCGCCCTCTTCTTCTCCACCAGGCTGGTGACAGTGTTGACTCCTAGAACACACAATCACTGTGAGCATTCATGGGGCCTGCTCTGGTCACAAGAAGCTGCTGGGCCCAGCTGTTGACTCAGTGTTAAAAAGCTCGGTTTTACTCTTCAGTCATTTCAGGTGAAGAAATTCTACATCACTTCAACAGCCTGCCCCCAGTGTTCACCCTAAGGTGGGGTCTACTCACCTGCTCGGAGGACAGGTGGTCTCTTACTGGGGACGTCCCCTTTGCCAGCCGCTTTCTTCTCGGCCCGGGCCAACAGCCTCTGCTTCTTTTCTTGCTTCGTCTCTGGTCTGTACTTGTGGGCCAGCTTAAGCAGCTGGGAAGCTGGTAAAACACTCTTCAGTTTAGGCTTATAGTCAAGCTTCTAATCCTTATCACTTAATATAAATGCTAGATCGCTGTGCTGGTATGTAAGAACTATAATGTAATGACAACTGCAGTTCAAGAAACCAAACCATTGACTCTCATGTTCTGGATGAAATAAGCAATCACTGATTTTAATAAACTCATCAACTTCAAAAGCTCCCGTCACCCAAAAGCCTCAGATCTGGAACTGCTGGAGTACAGTCCCTGCCTGAGAAACTCCTTTCCATGCCACAGAACCTCACCTGTTTGGCGGTCCAGGGCTTGGGTGAATTGGTTGATTGCAGGAGGCACTTTCAGCCGCTTATAGAGGATGGCTCTCTGCCGCTGCAACCTGATATAGCGGGGCCATTTCACAAAGCGGGTGAGGTCTCTTTTGGGCTGGATATCTTGTCCTGAGAAGTAAAGGGCGACATCGACCGAGGCTCAAATTCCGTGTCAAGTTCCTGTTTGGGGCCACTCAGAAGGGTGCTGGTGCATCAGCGATCTTGGTGGTTTAAAACGTCATCAACATCTTTCAAATAGCAAATATTCTTTTACATCATCTGTACACAAACACCTGAGAACGCGAGCTCTCGAGAGCACGATGCCTTTCCTAACAAGAAGCCAAGGTGCCACCAAGTACAGCAGAATCGCAGTCCGAGGGCCTCGCTGGGACAACACTACTGTACTTGTTTTCCAATGGCCAAGCTGAAGCCAAGGCCACGACGCTATTGAACCAAATGCTCACTGAACAACTCCCAAGGAAAACAAGACACACACACCATCACTGCCCCTGTCTCTAAGGGACACAGGTTAAGGGCTGAGACCACTTCACACCCACTGAAACCTACAAGATCCAAGTCAATCCCATTACCACATTTCCCTGGGAAAAACATAGGTTGTTTCCATTCTACCGTTTGTTACTCACCAATGCCAAAATTTTTAGGCCTTTTCTCAAATAGTGGATTCACCACTTTCTTGGCCTCCTGCTTCTTAACGACAGCAGGGGCCGGAGCCACCTTCTTCCCCTTGGCCTTCTTTCCTTTCGGCTGGACAGAAAGAAAATTCCGGTTAAACCGCCGCCTTCTTCGTCGGGAGGTCTCATTCCTTTAAAACAAGGGGCACCGACGGCCCCTGCCCAAACCTGGCCGGCGAGCTGCGTCCTGAAGCCCCCCGGCGCCACCCCAGCCTGTGCAGCTGCGCTCTTGCTTGCTGGGAACGTCCTCGCTGTTACCCGACAGGGGCATCTACCATCAGCCGCACGACCACGCTGCCCCCGGCACCCAGAGTGGCCGGAGCCCGGCTAAGGCCCAGGCCGAGGCCACGCTCTCTTCCCGTCGCCCACCCAGGAGACGCCTGGTACAAGACTCATGGCGTCTGAACCGCGGCCCCGCAGGCTCCAGAAATAGCAGGAGCGGGCTCGGACTCGTTGGTCAAAGCCTCTGGGGCGACCCTCAGAAAAACCAGAAGCCGCTAGTACTGCCGGCGCCTCGGCCCCGTCCGAGTCCCGCACCGCGGCGCTCCCTGCTCTCCTCCTCCAGCCCAGCGGCATGGGAACTAACGCATCCCGCTCCCGGCCGCCCAGGGCTTTAGTCCGTCTCAATGTCTCCGTGCCACACCGGGTACAGCTCTCCTAGAGCTAGGGGGAGCAGGAGGCCCTGTGGGGCCACGCCTGGAGAAGGATGGCAGCGGGTGAATCCGGGACCCGATTACCGTATCGCGGAACCAGGCCTCACTCACCATCTTGGGCGGCGGGAAGAGAAAGAAAGGAAAGGGAACTGTGGGTAATAAGTATGCGGCCTCAAAGATCGCGAGAGTTGATGCCGGCGCGGTATTTCATATTTAAAGCAACAGGACTCCTATAAACCAAAAAATCGACGCAGGGCGGAGAGGCTGAGACGGCGGACTACGTTTTTGGACTCCGGCGCGACCGGAAAGACTCTGTCCCGGCCGAGAGACTGCGGAGGGCGGGCCCGGCCTGGGGGGAGGCACTTGTCCACCCCGCCCCTGGTGACACCGAGGACGCGGCGTCTGGTGCGCGGGCTGTGGTTGGGGGTGAGGGTGTGGTGGGGGGGTGGGGACGGAGGTGTGTCGCGGGTGGGGACGGAGGTGTGTCAGGGGTGGGGATGGAGGTGGTGGTGGGTGTGTGGTCGGGAGTCGGGGGTGGGTGATCTCTGGGGGCTGGGGGCTGGGATCAGGGGTCCCTTTACTACTTGTGACGTATTTCCCCCATCCCGCCAAATATGGGCTCAAACAACGCGAGTGCGTCCAGGAGTCCGCTAGGCCTTGCGTCAGGCCACGAACCCAGGGGTCCCCAGGCCCTCGCGGAGCACTGTACGTAAAGACCTGGTCCAAGAGCCAGGCAGGTCCAGCACCGAGACCGCCCAGTGCGGCTGCAGGGCAGAGGCAGAGGGGCGCGCGGAGTTGATCCCCTTGTCCCGGCGCACCGAGGAGCCATGAAGGCTGTTAATCAAGGGAGTGGAATGACCGCTTTTTTTTTTTTTTTTTCTTTTTAAGGCAAGAGTCTCGCGCTGTCATCCAGGCGGGAGTGCAGTGGCGCGATCTCGACTCACTGCAGCCTCCGCCTCCCGGGTTCAAGCGATTCTCTTGTCTCAGCCTCCCGAGTAGCTGGGATTACAGGCGCGCCCGCCGCCACGCCCGGCTAATTTTCGTATTTCTAGTACAGACGGGGTTACACCATGTTGGCCAGGCTAGTCTCGAACTCCTGACCTCTCAGGTGATTTTTTTTTTCCCCCCCGCCTCGGCCTCCCAAAGTGCTAGGATTACAGACATGAGCCACCGAGCCCGGCGGAATGACAGCTTCTTAGGACCTCTTCCCTGCCGCGTGGAAACTGGAGGGAGGGGGCAGCAGTACAGGGATGAGGTCAGAAGCCTTAGTAGGAGTGGAAGGAAATCGTGGATGCAGGCCGTGCAGAGGGGTCGGATTGGAAGGACTCCTCAGATGGGAGGGCGTGGCGAGGGTGGCAACAGGCTAAGAAGTTATGCCCTGGCTAGGGACAGGGAGCTGGTGTTGAGCTTGCAGGCCTTCCCGGGACACACTGTGGGCCTGGACATGAAGTATGGACTGGAGCCCTGGACAAGGCTTGGAGGGCTGGCCAGGAGTTCTAGGATGAGCTTGCTCTGGCAGAGGCGGGGCCACAGGAGAGTCCCGGCAACCCCTGAGATGACTGCTGATGGAATGAGTTCATCTGTGTTTCAGTGATTGACTTTATCTGGCAGAAAGAAATCCCCGGAAATCTGGGTGTTCTGCTAAGGTGGGGCCATAGAGGGTGGCTGAGGGCTCTGCCTGCACTCAGGGGTCTGTCCTGCACTCTAGGTCCAGGTCTCCGCCCCTGCGCCACCTGAGGCTCTCCCATGGCCCAGCAGAGAGCTCTGCCCCAGAGCAAGGAGACACTGTTGCAGTGTTACAACAAGCGGCTGAAGGATGACATCAAGTCCATCATGGACAACTTCACTGAGATCATCAAGACCACCAAGGTGGGGCAGGGGGCACAAAGGGGAGCAGGGTCTGGGGAGGGGTGGAGACAGGAGAGGCCAGGGACTGAGCAGCCTGAGTGAAGGGTGTTCCAGACAGGAAGCACCCAGTGCACAGGGAGCCGGTCAGCAGATAAATCAATCAAATAATGACACGTCTTGGCAAAGCAGCGCGGGGGGACTCTTGCTGAACTGCCGGGGCCCCACGTCCCTGTGGGTTTGGATGGAGATTTCACTTTTTAGTGCCTCGGTTTCTTCTGCATGGTGGGGTCCTGCATTGGTGAGTTTACCTGTGTTAAACAGTTACCTCGGGGTTTGGCACAGATCCAGCGAGCAGGAGACAAGCAGGCTGAGGGGAGAAGGCAGGGTCCCTCTAGGCAGGTGGAGTGGTCAGCACTGGGGCCTGCAAGCCTGCTGATCGTTACAGCTGCACCAGATTGGGCTGTATCCTTTCTGGCTGCTGCAGACCTGGCAGGCTCAGTAAGCAGTGATGGTAAGCCTGGAAGCTAGCATGTACTTTGTGCTCGCCATGTGTCAAGCCACTTTGTGTGGCTGTCTGGGCCCGTTCCGCTGAATCTTCATGGGGACACTGAGGTGGGCACCATTGTCCTCTCCATTTCAGGAGGAAACCCAGGCCCAGGAGATTTGAACTCACAAAGTCAGGCTCTTAACTACTGAGGGCACCTGACACCCACCCTGAGCTGAGCCCTGGAAAGGCCTATTGGGAAGCCCTGTCCAGGTTAGCCGAATGCACTGGCTGGACTCCTGGCCCCTCTGTTCACCGTCTGAGACTCCTTGACTGTACTGGTTGTCCCAGCCTCGCTTGCCCACCTATAAACCACGGGTGGCAGGCAAGGCTTCTGTGAGAATGTCATGGGCTAATGGTGGTCAAGTGTGTGACACAGTGACTGGCACCTGGGAAGTTATCAGGAAATAGTTGCTGAAAAGAAAAATACATCATCCCTTCACTCATCCATTTAACTGTTTACCAAATACCAAGCAAGTGATGACAGTTCCTGCCAAACAGGCCTCCCACAGCCCTAAAAGACCGGGCCAAGCTAAGACCCCATCCCTGCACCGAACACAGCAAGTGGCATGGGTCGGCCTCCGTTTGTCTTGAGCAAGGTGCCTGTTGTCTCCCATGACCAGAACAAGAGAAGGTGGAATTGAACCTTACCAGGAGTTTGGCTGACAGCACTCAGGTCTGTAGAAGGTACCACAGACAGGTCGTGGCTAGTGTGGGCATCCCGGGCAGATGACAGTTACCATCAGCTGGGCTGGGCCGAGCCGGGGTGGGATGTTTTGGCTGGGTTGATTCTACATTTTCTTCTTTGCCCCCAGATTGAGGATGAGACACAGGTGTCACGGGCAACTCAAGGTGAACAGGACAATTACGAGATGCACGTGCAGCCACCAACATCGTGAGTGGCCAGGGTGGAGGGCACAGCCCAGGCTCCAGGAGCATCAGTCCCCGCCGGGGTTTCCTGGGTTGAAGGTAGGGGGGTCTGGGGCTGGTCTGCTCTTCCCCTGAGAAGGAGCAGAAGGAGGCGAATGTAGAGATGCTTTAAAAAATGAGGTGGGGGCAAATCATTTCTCAGGAGACTGTCTGTACATGAGGTACCTGGAGGAAGCCTGGGCAGAGAGCCAGCCATGCCATCTTGTAGCTGTGCAGGTGCCAGGAAGAGGGCAGCCCTCGCTGCTAACTCACAAGTTCCTAAGGTCAGTTGTGAGTGAAAAGGCAAACAGCCGAACGGAACTGTAGGCGCCATTGGATTCCTTTGGATCACAGGAGAAACACAATAAGCAGATATTCCTGCAGGTTCACATCCAAGGCAGAGAATGCACTGGAAAAGGTCCCACAGGAGCCCTGCCCAGCTGGCAGCTGTGTCACCCCTTACCCGGGGCAGGAGGCAGGAGGGATTGCAGCTTTATCTGTGGGGTTTGCATTTGTAATGAGCAGAATGTGCACCTGCACAGTTGGACTGGAGGCCAGTCCTGCAAGAGTGGAAGCCAGAGGCTGAGGGGAGGGGAGGGCCTGCCCTCTGGAACTGACATCCTAGTTTTCTCACTTAATTCTCACAAATGAACCTGTGGAGGTCAGGGATCGAGTCCCACTTTGCAGATGAAGCAGAGGCTCCCAGAGAGGCCATCACTTGCCCAGCGTCAGCCACCTGAGGGCAGGGCCGCTGTCCCTCCTCACCCTGTGCCCACCCTGGTTCTGATGGCCACAGGTCTGAGCCGGTGAGTCCCTGATGAAGCTAGTGTCCGACCTTAAGCAGTTCCTGATCCTCAACGATGTCCCCTCTGTGAACGAGACCATCAACCAGCGCAACCAGCAGCTGTGCGCGCTGCAGGAGGAGCGCGACCAGAAGCTCATCATGTTGCGGGATGAGATCTCCATTGACCTCTACGAGCTGGAGGAGGAGTATTACTCATCCAGGTACAAATAGAGCTGGACTCCCCGTGCAGAGTGGGAGCCTGCCTACCTGGGCCTGGCCAGCAGGCAAGGCTGGCCTGACTCTGAAGGGCCTTCTGCTTTTTCAAATCCTTGCTGGCAGTGGAGTTGTGCCTGGGTTTCAGAGCAGAGCTCCTGGCCAGAACATTTGATCTACAGATAGTTCACAAACGTCTGCTGGGGCCCTGGGCCTTTCCCACAGTGCAGTGTGATGAAAGCCACAGGACTCATACCAGTTGCATAGGCCAAGTCTGGAGAAGGGAGGGCCTCGCCGGCATCCCCTGCAGGGCCTCTTGCTGAGAGCATCCCTCCTCAGGCAGTGCCTCTGGGCCAGTGCTGTGCTGTTAGCTTCTGAATCCATATTCAGAGATTTTGGTCAAGGCTGGGCCAGCCCCTCCTGGGCACTCAGGTCCATACCTATGTCCAGGGCATCAAGGATGCAATTCCATGTGTATGTCACCAAATCCCAGTGTGGAGGCCGGGACAGTCATGGGACTGTCGGGGATGAAGCCCTGGCAGGGAATGGCCTTGAAAGCTGTTGGAGTTCTAATTTCTGACCTTCTCAGCCTTATCCACTGAGCTGGAGGCAGCCTATTTGCCAGGCCCATGCTGGGCCCCAGGGATGCAGAAGGGTCAAAACCCATCATCCTGACCCTCTTGGGGCCACATAAGAAGCCAGAAGCCCGAAACCTTTTGAGCTGGCAGTACCTGAGAAATCAGAGTCCACGTGTTTTTTTACCTAGGGGGAATCTTAGGCTGGAGACAGGAAGGCCTTCCTCTCTGACCCCATTAGCTTAGAAAATCAAGATTCAGTCCAGCAGACACAAAGTCCGTGTCATCTTGTGCCTTCTCCTGGACAAACTTTTCCTTCCTAGTGGTGGATTGAAAATGCCCCTTTCTGCCCAATGGCCATGCTGGGAGCCACAGATGTCTAGAGCCAGCGTGGCCTGTGGCTTCGTTTTCCTGCCCTGGGCTCAGTGGCACTGCCAGCTGCAGCAGTTCTAGAGTTTTCCAGGTCGTTGTGGGTGGAGTCTTTGGTCCCCAATACTCATTAACTCAGCAGACAGGAGACAGCATTTCCTACATCAGCCAGGTGGCCTCCGGCAGGCGTTCCCACCTCTAACACGGGGAATCCTCTCGGCAGCCAGGATGCAGGTGAAGGACCACAGCTAGCCCTTCCCATGCCTGCAGCTGTGACGGTCCACACCTGCCTCCTACCTGCAGGCAGGGGCCCTGGCTTTCCTGCGTCCTGCCTCCCTTGCTCCTGCCCTTGTTCAGTCTCAGAACCGTCCTGGGCACAGAGTAGCATCCTGAGGAGAGTCAGAGCCAGAAAGAGCAAAGAACCAGTGGCGGAAACAGAGGTGCAGCTCATGCGGGGTGGGGCGGGGAGGGGAGCGCCCTTTGTGGCACCAGCAGGCAGGGGCAGAGGAAACTCTTCCCAGCCCTGGCTGCTTAAAGGTGATGTACAGACCAGGGGGCAACTGCCTCTGCCACAGGAGCTGTGTAAGGCCACCAGGGGGCACTGGTGTGGACAGGATGCCTGCGGGAGGGGACACAGGCTGGCCTGGAAGCCCCTGTAGGTGAAGCGGAGAGACTGTTGGGGAAGGCATGGGAAGCCTGGCACATCTGTCCTGGGTTTGCATCCTACTCTGCTGCAGGGTGGTGGACAGGCTCCCTCCCTCCCTACCCCAAGGCAAGGCAGGCTGAATTGTGGCCTCACAGCTGCTTTGTCCAGGGGCCCTCAGGGATAGTGGCTGCCCCAGGAGCATCAGCACCAGTTTTGCCTCAGCTGTGGAGCCAGCAGTCCCAGGTCATGTAGGGAGTCTATGCCCCAAATACTGACTGCTAAATGCAGGTGCTGACAACTTAGCACATCTGTTCCCAGAGAACATAAAGTTTACATATTGGGCCAGGCGTGGTGTCTCACATTTGTAATCCCAGTACTTTGGGAGGCTGAAGTAGGTGTACTCTAGCCTGGTCGACAGAGCAGGACTCTGTCTTAAAAATAAATAAAATAAAATATGAATACATAAATATTAGCCATGTCCCTATGTTGATCTGCCAATAACATTTTTTTTTTTTTTTGAGATGGAGTGTCTCTCTATCACAAGGCTGGAGTGCAATGGCATGATCTTGGCTCACTGCAGCCTCTGCCTCCCGGGGTTCAAGCGATTCTCCTGCCTCAACCTCCCAAGTAGCTGGGATTACAGGTGAGCACCACCATGCCCAGCTAAATTTTATATTTTTAGTTGAGATGTGGTTTTGCCATGTTAGCCAGGCTGGTCTTGGAACTCCTAACCTCAGGTGATCTGCCTGCCTCAGCTTTCCAAAGTGTTAGGATTCCAGGTGTGAGCCATTGCACCTGGCCTTTTCTTCATGTTTTGTTATTATTATTATTTTGGAGATGGAGTCTCTGTTGCCCAGGCCGGAGTGCAGTGGCACAATCTTCACCTTACTGCAAGCTCCACCTCCCAGCTTCAACTGTTCTCCTGTCTCTGCCTTCTGAGTAGCTGAGATTACAGAAACCTGCCACCATGCCCAGCGAATTTTTGTATTTTTAGTAGAGACAGCGTTTCTCCATGTTGGCCATGCTGGTCGTGGACACCTGACCTCAGGTGATCCACCCACCTTGGCCTCCAAAGTGCTGGGAATACAGGTCGTGCCTAGCCACCTTCATGTGTTTTGTTATGTTTTAAATGAAAGAAGCAGTAGCTTGGAACTGAAAAGGGGCTCTTGAGGGGGCACAGGGTTGACTTCTCCCAGGTTACTGAGGAGATGCCAAACCTGCTCAGCCTCCTGGACTTGCCTGTGGGCCACTGAAGAAACCCCAGGTCTTGGTCCCCAGCGCTCCCAGAGCCTGGTATTCCTCTTCTGTCCCAAGTCAAGGGAAGAGCACTAGCAGGTGAAGGGGTGAGCAGCCTGTTGACATACAAATTCCAAGTGATTAGGACCATATCTGTCAGGCAGCGCAGGCTGCCGATGTCAGATGACCTCATTAGAGTCTGCCTGGGCAGTGACAGAGCATGGCGGCAGGAGTTTCCATGCCCCTTTGTGGGCAGCTTGGGAGGGCAGCAACTTGTATTCACCCAAACTCCGAATCAGGCAGACTCAGGCAGGTTAACAGGTCACGACATCACAGTGTGGCTTCTTGTGGACAGAATCTGATGAAGCCCAGGTGGAGTTTTGTTTCTGTTTATCCACATAGTACTTAAAGCTGCCAGACCAGGCTTTACGTGAAATGACCTAATTTGAACCCAATGGGGAATTACCATTGAAGTCACTGATCAGATAAAGTAAGAATCCAGTTTTTCTCATCTTCAGAAAACAAAAGCAAAACCAAAGTGACAAGATTTGACTAGAAAGTGCGGGCTGCTGAGAGCAAGACCTAAATAAGCTTAGTTTCCCAAGCCCGGTGTCCTCCGGTATTATGACAATGACATTAAGTCTTTCAGTGGGCCAGGTCCGTGATACACATTCCTTGTGTGACCTTCCCAACTGCAGGAAGTTGGCCAGAGCGTCTCCATCTTCAGATGGGCAGAGGGAGGTTGGCTGGCCGCACTGGCTCATGGTTGGCTGGAGACTGAGTTTGCATCTTGTTACCCCAAAGGCGGGTTGCTTGGTGGACTGCAACCTTCTGGTCTGCAGAGGCTGGTCCACGGGGACGCGCAGTCCGGCTAGTTTCTGCTGGCAGGGGCTGGCAGGCTCCCCCCAGTTGCATCTCTTATCTCTCTATCTCTGGCATCAAGCTCCTTATCCTGGCAGCCAGGGACAGTGTCCTCTTGATCCCGGGAGCCATGCTCTGTAGAAACTGCTGAGATGTGCTTTATGTAGGAGCTAGGCATTAGGAAGCCATGGGAAGGGGCCAGAAACTCTAATGAACTCAGCAATCCTAACTAATGTCCATGCCTGCAGCTGCTCCTCACTGCCTATTAGACACTCTGCAAAATGTAGCTTCTAAGCAATTTATACCCATAAACAGCAATATTGATACTTAATGGGTTCTGCCTGGCAGCTCCTCACCAAGGTGACAGAAAAGCTTCATGGGGCCTTCCTCTCCAGTGTGGCCTTCGGTGTTTTTAACTTGTCCTCAAGAGTGGCAGAGCTAGTCCTCGGCTCTAGGAGCTGGCCTTGGCCCTAGTTGAAGTGCTGGGGAAGCAAGGATGGTCCTGAGGACACCTGAACCTGTTGGTGGCACATCGTGAGGGTGGCTGTCTGGTGTGGTGGGGTCCTGGTGACAGTGGCGGGCTCTGTCATACCCTACTCTGTACTATGAAGGAGCAAGGAGAGAAGGGAAAGAGGTCCTGACTCACCTTTGTGTGCTGATCTTCACGGGAGGTTGAAACACATCCACCCCACTCTTTAGGGGAGTGTGTGGGAGAAGCAGGCGAGGTTGTGGTTAGTGGGGCTCCTCCCAGAAGATGGGGCCCAGTTGTGCTCACTTACTTCTTTCCTACAATTGTGATTTTGATCACACAGGTTTTTAGTAAAGCCAGGCCATCATCTCCCACGTTGGGCTGTGCGACACCTTCTCTGGCCCTGCAGGGTGCTGTGTAAACCTCTAGACCAGCACGGGAGGGAGGCTCGGGCAAGTTCTGGAGCTGCAGTGAGCCACTGAGGTCGAGCCAGCCCTGACAACCTGATGTGAGAAGCCGCTGGGCCGCTTCTACTTCTGTCCCCGTGGTTGCTTTTCCCCAGGTTTAGATGAGACGGAGGCCCGTGTCCTCATTTCTAGGATGTGTGGGACCTGAGTTGGGCCTTGAGCAAGGCAGCCCCAATCCTTGGTAATCAAGGAAATCTGACCTGCCTTTTTCCTCAATGTTCTCATTCACCATGAATTTGCAGGCTGCTTTTCTTAATTGCTTTTTGTCCTGAGTGTGAAGAGAAAGTGGAATTTTCTGTGTGGCGTGGGAGCTGCAGGTGGCTGTGATGGTGATCACTGTATGCTCACGAAGTCATCTCTCAGGGTGGATATAATTCCGTTTCTCAAATACCCTTCAGTTGTCTAAAATAACCACCCCTCTGAGAGGAATCTCGGTCTTCCTATTAAGCTCCTGAGATGCTGTCACTGCTTATGAATCATATCCTGCTTGATGGCGTGGTTCTCCGAGAGACTTAATGAGAAGCTTGGCCACATACGTGAGCTAACTGTGTCATCTCCTTCCTACAGCCTCCCAGGTCAGCAGCCACCTCTGGCTCTCCTGTCACAGTTCTCTGATGGGGGTAGGGGGACTGTCACGGGTTTTCTGTGCTCGCCATGTTTACACAGGTCACCTGTGTGCTGGCTACTGGCAGTGGGCTGAGTGCCTGCAGCGTAGCTGCTCTTGTCTATCCCGTGTGCTGCGTGTCATGCCTGAGCTGGGGGCTCTTCTCTGCTGTGCTGAGGGAACACTGGCTTTGGGACGTGTTCTAGAGTGGCATGACATGGGTCCAGTGGCCAAGTTGAAGAAGTTGTGACCAACGTGTGAGGGGAAAGAGGTTCATGTCGGGCCTGGTCTTTAAACATGGCTTTTTCAGTGTTAAGTCCAAACAGTCCCCCACGTTAGGGGATGCTCATTAGATGGTGGCTGGTTTAAAGGAGACTGCATCAGCCTTACAACTAGTCAGCCTTCAGTCTGGACCAGGCTTGCCTTTGAAAACCAGAGCAGCTAAGCAGTAGGTGTGCTCAGTTCATAGTGCAGTACCCCAATTTTTGCATATTTTTCCCCAAAGCCAAGAGCTGTGTCTGTCTCCTCACCACGTTTGCGCAGGGAAGGAGGTGTGTACTGGCGGTCCCACCTTCTTTTTTTTTGTTGTTTAATCCTCTTGACCCAGACACTCAGATTAAGAGCCACAGACTCATCAAAGAGACTGTTAAACACTGTCTCAGTCTCATGGGCTGTGCACGTAGCAGATGAGCATGTGAAATGCAGGTCCTGCAGCTGGGGGAGGCTTAGACTGCAGCCCATGGCTGGGGCTGGTTTGCTCATCTGAGGTCAGTGAATGGCTCACAGCTCTCGTTTTAGAAGCAAGTCAGAACACCTCTGTTGTCTGTCTTGGGTGTGGATTACAGTCTGCCTCTCTGCTGCTGTTGGGGGGCACACCCTCAGAGTCCTGCCACAGCTCCATGTCATCTCAGAGGTCTGCACAGCCCCTTGTTGAGCTCTTCCTTTCCCGCGGTTGCTTTTCCCCAGGTTTAGATGAGGCGAAGCTCCGTGTCCTTGCCTGGGCTCCCAGCTAGGCCACGACACAAACGCCATTACTTGAGAACAGTGGCACATCACGTGGCAAGGTAGTGTACTTTATCTCTTCCACGGAATATGGATGATTAAACTTTTGCTGGCCATTTAGAAAGCAACGGGGCTATGAGGCAGAACCTGGGGAGGGTGTGTGGCATCACCTTTTCCACCTCCCAGTGTGATGTGGGCATCTTGTGCTGGTCCTCTGCATTGGCTCTGAAATTCACAGGGGAGTATTTGGGGTCTTTTAAAAAATAAAAAGTAAAACAAGGTCTTTCTCCTAATGAGGTTGGAAAGAATCTTAGCAACCATTAGTTCATCTGGCCTCACTCTACTGTAGGATAGTAGAGATGCTATCTCAAATGGCTTGGTGATTCCCTGGGTATCCGTCGGTCACTGTGATGTCTGCCATCACTTCAGTGGAGTCAAAGGTTGAGTAAATTTGTGTAGAACTGACACTGCAGGGTGCAGGCTCACTGGGTTTGGGGAGAATGGCCACCTGGCTTTGTAATCTTCACCTCCACCCCCTGCCACATGGGAGCCAATCTGCAGTTCTGACCTACCCAGGGCCCCACTTGACAGGCTGGAGGGTGATCTGAACAGCCGGGGCTTGTTAACTGAGATGGGAAGCCTCAGCAGTGTCTAGGAGATTGAAGCAACTTGAAGGATGGTGAAAAGTAAGAAGCACGTAGGCACATCTTCTTTTGTTCCAACAGTAGGTTTAGTCAGCCTTAGGAGGGACTGTGCAGCTGACGTTTGCTCGCCTCTCCCGCGGGGGTCAGGCTTTCGGGTGCCCTTTAGACTCTGGCTTCCCAACTGGCATTCGTGGGTGGGTCCCCTGATCTTTCTCTGAAGGACTTGCTGTGTAACAGGATTTCTTTCTCTTTATATCTCAGTTTTCTGTGAGTGATAAAAGTGCATGGGGTAACCCCCTTCCTGCTGGGCTTAGTATGCCCATTTGTAAGGCGAGGGGTTGGACCAGAGCAGTGGGGATGCCTGGTAAAGTGCAGTGGTGCGTCAGTAGGGAGGTTGCTGCTGGCATGTCATGGGCAGAGGTCAGGCCTGCTGTGTCATAGCCTGTAGCACCCAGGATGACCCATGGCAAAAAGTGGCCCAGTCTCAGATGCCAGCAGTGCCAAGGTGTGGAAACCCTGGATAGACGACCTCTAAGTGCCTTTTCAGATGTCATTCTGTGATTCCAATTTGTAAATGCCCTTGACCGAAAAGAGAGGCTCTGTGTCTTGTGGCAGTGCCACCTTCGATGACCGTAGTTGCCTGCCAAGGCACCGGAGGAAATCACAGTGGCAGAGTGTTAGGGCTGCTGCCCTATGGGGTCTGCACCAGAGTGCCCAGTGCTATGTCGTGCATCTCTGGGACTGATACTTGGATTGTCACATGTGTCCAGACTCATGGGGTAGCACTCGGGAGCAAGCACTGAGAGCCCCCTAGTCTGTCCTCAGAAGGCGCCGGGACTGACCGGAGCCCTTACCTTCTGCAGCATCTGTTCCTCATGCACACCCCACCCAAGGACGTGCCCAGCTGCAGTCTGGGGCTTGCCGTCACAGTCACCTCACCTTTGGGTTTCTGTGGCCTTTTAGTTCCGTGTCACAAAGGAGTACTTGCCCCACGTGGCGCGCCTCTGTCTGATCAGCACTTTCCTGGAGGACGGCATCCACATGTGGTTCCAGTGGAGCGGGCAGCATGACTACATCGACACCACCTGGAACTGTGGCTACCTGCTGGCCTGGTCCTTCATCTTCCTCAACTTGCTGGGACAGCTGAGTGAGTGGCTCTGAGAGTGGGCAGGATTCACTGGGCTTCTTATTCCATGATCGTTAGCAGTTGGGAGGCTATGTGTGAACTCTCCACAGTAGAGCAGTTAATTTCCCACCTCAGGTGGGTGGCTGACTTGGGAGCTGACTGTGGGAAACAGCCCGTTCCTTATTACAGCATGGGCTCCACTTTCTGTGTTTGTGTTAAGTCCAGTGAACTTACCATGCGTGGTCCTTGCCTATCATTAATTCTCCCAGAAGTTGCTTTTTGCTTGGGTAGGTGGTTTTCCTCACCTGCCTCTGGACAAGAGGGCCAGGTGAGGTGGCAGTGTATCGAAACAGTGCTCCTCTCCCGGCACCCATCCTCAGACCCCCAACCCTCCTTCTCTCCAGCTGGCTGCAGCCTGGTGTTGAACAGGAACTTCGTGCAGTATGCCTGCTTTGGGCTCTTTGGAATCAGCTCTGCAGGTACACGGGTGTGCGGTTGGGGCTCCCTTCTCTTTGCTCTGGTGGAGCAGAGCTTCTGAAAATACATCCTTGAGGGTTCAGTGTCACTCCCTCTTCAGCCCTCTCCACGTCTCTGACTGCCTGGAGCTCCTTTCTCTTCTGGGGAAGTCGTGAGCCCAAGCAGGGCTGTAGAGGTGGGTCATTAGGTACGGGGACCTCTTTTGCCCCATTCCTGTGATAATTGTGACAGGGGAAGTCCTGAGATTGGCTGGGTGAGGATGCTGTCTTGTTATCATGTTGCTTCATAAAGAAGAATACCTGGTTATTCCGAATGAAATCCTGGGAACAGAATATCTGAATCCACATCCGTGGTCTCAATCACTTTGTTCTCCGGAATATCACAGCACATTTCTTGAGAAATGCAGAACCACATTTTTGAGCCTTGGTCTGTGCTAGGTCTTCTGTGTAGGTTTTGTGTGTTTTAGACTGCAGCTGAAATTGGAGAGACATTGCTTAAGGCTATTATGAATTCTGTGAAATGCCTTTGGAAAGGCTGAGACTTAGGTCTCTCTTTTTTCCCCCCAGACAATTGCCTTCAGCATTTTATGGGACTTGAGGTATTTGATGAGGTATGTGCATTCTGGTTAGTGAGTTTTATTATACACTCCTTGTGTAGGCTGAGCATTGTAAATCCAAAGTCTGAAATGCTCCAGAATGGGAAGAATCTTGGGCACCAACATGACGCTCAAAGGAGGTTCTCATTGGAGCATTTCAGGCTTTGGATATTCAGATTTGGGATGCTCAACTGATAAGTATATAAATACACCAAAACCTGAAACACTTTGGGTCCCAAGCATTTCAGGTTAGGGATACCCTATCTGTATTTCTAAACTCAGTTAACATCTCTGGGTCAAAATCAAGCTTGTCCAGCCTGTGGTCCATGGGCTGAACGCGGCCCAACGCAAACTCATAAACTTTCTTATAAACTTATGAGAGTTTTTGTGATCTTTAAATTTTATTTTTTTAGCTCTTCAGCTATCATTAGTATTAGTGTATTTTATAAGTGGCCAAGTAATTCTTCCAGTGTGGCCCAGAGAAGCCAAAAGATTGGCCCTCTGGTCTGAACTGTCCCTCTTAGAAGCAGGTTCTGAAGAGGATGCTGCAGAGCCCCTAGAATAGTAGTGACTGAAGCCATCTCTTCTGCCCCTTATTTCACAGGCGTGGGACTCAGGGTCTCAGCGGAGGACGTGGCTGCCCACGGGGACCAGGCTGGTCAACACTGAAGCTGTGACTTGGTTCTGCGTGTGTTCAGGTAGTCCATCTCTGTCAAGTTGTAAAGACACCTCTGTCTCTTGAGCTATGTAAGGTTTTACATGGATGTAACTGCAGCGTCTGAGGTCCTGTGCGCATGCCTGCCTGGTCCTGCTTCACAGATTGCTGGGTTTGGAGAAAGGGAAGTAAGGGCCTTCCTATATGCGCACCAAGGTCTCCCTGCACCTGGTCTGGCAGGCAGGCCAGATCCTGGTGAGGCTTTCCTTCAGCGTGCATATCTGTTCCTCAGGAACCTGGCCCTGGGAGGAGGCCTGTTGCTGCTCCTAGCAGAATCTCATTCTGAAGGGAAGAGCATGTTCGCAGGCGTCCCCACCATGCGTGAGAGAGCTCCCCCAAACAGTACATGCAGCTCGGAGGCAGGATCTTGCTGGTTCTGATGTTCATGACCCTCCTTGACTTTGATGCCAGCTTCTTTTCTGTAAGTATTCCTGCTTGTCTGAATGGGTCTGGTTTTCTGTCCTACTAGAAGGAATGCTGTGCTTCCCCCATCCCCTCCCTGTTCACCCCTCCCTGGTTGGGTACTAACCACAGCCTGAGGGAGCTGCTCAAATGGAGCAAATCTTTTGATCCCATTAAAACAGACCAAAAAATCATCAATCCCTTGTGTGTCAAGCCTTCTTTCCAGCAAGTGAAGGCCAGAGCCTCTAACCTAGGTGGAGTGTGCTTGGCCCTTGGTCGGCCAAGGCTCTCCACCCAAGCTCTTCTTATATCTTGGAAGATGGTGATAGGGGAACTCCTCCTTTCAGTTACAAAGAACGTTGGCAAATAGCCTATTCCTGGTTTTCCTCTTCAAGTAATACAAATCCTTAGCATCAGTCATGTAATGACTGGCAACCTGTGGCTACCTGGCTTATCTGTGCAGGGGTCCTGTGCTGCATTCGTAGTCACTTAAACTGCCAGGCACAAGTTCAGGATTGTTCTTTGCAAATCAGTCAGTGAATCTTCTGTAGAAATAGAATTCTGGAGATCCTACTGAAGACACTCCTGTGCTTGACCTCCATTTCATGTTAGAACACAGCTTGACTAGCATGTTAACTGAATCACATGTTTCCATAACTGTCAGAGGATGGATGGATATTCCAGGAAGCAGATCCTCAGATGGAGGTGAGCCTCAGGAAGCTAACCAGGGTTCCATACTTGTGAGAAAGGGAACATAAGTGAACGTAAAGGAAGAAGTTGAGCTGTGATGCCTTCTCAAAAGAAGCTTCAGCCAACTTTGGGGGCAGTTCTGAAGCTGAGGTCCGTTTAGAGCTATCCTGCATTGTAATGAGGGGTCTGGGGTTTTAATCTCTGATTAAGCATTGCATGCCAGCCACCCAGGAAGAGGTGTGACTTCTGGTGAGCCAAACCCAGGAGAGGCTGACTGCTGACATCTACCTGCCTGGGAACGTGCAGTAGCTGGGAGAACAAACCTTTCATTCCTGAAAGGTGTATGTAAAAACAGGCACATGGCAAAAAACACACTGAACATATAGACCTAATATGAGCCTCAAAAGCAGTAATAAGGAAGTACATTTTCCTGCTTTCTGTGGTCAGCAGGAAGTCACAGGCTGTCCTAATCAGAAATCCGTTTGAAGTCAAGTCAACCTCATCTTAGTTCTGGAATGCTTGTACCTTCTGGGGCTACAGGGCTTCAATGTTTTGACTTGGAGTGGAATGAGAATTGTTAGGAGGAAACCCCATGACTGGATCACCACTATATGAGGGAGGTGGCTTGAGGGCTCAGCTGGGTCATGTAGGCAAGGGTGATGGTTTGGTGTAGTCGCTCTTTCCTGTTGCTGAACGCTGCTTTCCTTCCACTACATCCTGGTAGGAACTGGTCTTGATCGTTAACCTTGGCAGTCGATGTGAATGTGCGCTCCCACGGCACCTACATGCCACTGCACCTGGCTGTGTTGCACGACCACGAGGATGCCGCTGTGCTGCTGGTGGTGTGTCTGGGCGCCCAGGTACACGTGCGTGACCACAGCGGGCGTCACGCCTACCAGTACCTGGGGCCTGGCTCTTCGTACGTGCTGCGCCGCCTATTTGGTGATCCAGGCCTGCCAGATACCACGGAGCTAGATGCGTACGGTGGTGGAAGTGGCAGTCTTGCTGCCAGGCGCCCGGTGCGGGTGGCTGCCACCATCCTCAGTTCTGCCACCATCCTCAGTTCCGCCACCATCCTCAGTTCCACCACCAGTACATTTCTAGGCACCTGGCCGACGACCTCATGCTCCAGGACCTGGCCTGGGGCTTGAAGAACTCAAGCTCCTTCCACATTTTCTTGAGCGCCTCGCCCATGGCTCCACATAAAAAGACAAAGATCCGCAGTGATCTGCCAGCCTTCTCAGAAATCTCTCGTCAACCTACGCCAGGGCCTTTAGCTGGTCTAGTGCCCAGTTTGCCCCCAACCACCTGAAGGTGCCTGGAGCTACCACCCGGGTTGATCTATCATGGCCTGCTCCTCGCTATTAAAGTCTGCCCAAGACTGCAGCCCAATCAATGCCTGCAGCCTCATTCTGTTTCCGGCTTTGCCCACTGTAGCCTGTTTTACCCAGAGGGGCCACCACTTCCAGCTTGTCTCTGAAGCATGACCCATCTCCAGAGATGGTATTTGAGAACTCATTGAGAGCCTGCTATAAAGAACTCCAGGAGACAGGCCTGAACGCTGGAGGAAACTTGAAATCCAGGGTCAAAGGTTAAGGGCCAGCAGCTGGTCTGGCCCCAAATGGTTAACTGATGCCTCTGCATCTACACAATGCCAAGCCAGAACTAGAGCAAGGGTCTCTTTAAATGTTGAAAGATGTTAGGTTGTAGCTTTAAGATACGTGGTGGTTTTATAATTTGATGCTTTTATTCTGTTTTTAAATTGAAATGAGGTAAAGCAACTTTCATAACCTTTTGAAATTATATTTTTCCACTTTTAGCAAAGTGCTCAGACATTTTCAATTTTTTGCTAAATATTTTGGAATTCTGTTTAAAAAATAGATGATCAAGATCTAAAGGAAATTAATCCCAACCAACAAACTTAAAAGTTTATCTACCTCATTTTAGGCAATTAAGATTCTGGAGAGTCTTGAACACAGAATAACGATTGTGGCCGTTATGAATGTAACTAATTCAGTTGTACTGTGAATGCTAAATATTTGCAAACAGGTACATGTTGAAAGCAAAGGTGACTTAAAGAGAGAAAAGAGACATTTTGGTAGATACTTTGTGATTGTCTTCGTAATGAAATATAAACGTGTGTTGGACACTGGTGGGTGGCTATTTTGATTTGGCATGAATACTTAATTCTTTTAAAAAATTGTGGTTTGTGAATTGCACCTTTGTGCCATGTTTCTGAATCTGTAGTTTTCAAATCCAGCAGAGCCTTTCAGTGCAATAGGTGAATATACAAAGAAAAAAAATGATAGCATTATGACAGAAAAATAAGTGGATAAATAGTGATGGATACAGTTAAAGAGCAACTATTTTATGACTGTTCTGTACAAACAAAAAGTATGTGATATCCATTTTAAAAAAACATTTGAAAGGAGACAACTTATTCCAAAATAGCAAATGCAGATTCTCTTTGCTCAGTGAACTTGGATGAGTGGCTTGAAGTCTCTGGACCTTTGTTCCTACCTGTAAATGAGAAGGTTTGTAGACGTTGCCCATATTTCCTATGCTCAACACAGTGTGACTTTTTTCTCTTTTTAAAGATAGGGAATCTACTTACTCAATCAATTTTTAAAATATCATATTGTAATAATGCTCTGCTTTTGCAAATGTGTTTGCATGTCATTAGTTATATCAAATAGTTTTGTGGCACGGGGTAGTAGAGCTTCCCTCCCACCCCCATATGTATTAGTGAAGCATTTGAAATTCCATAAGGCAGTCTTTCATGGAATGTTTTGATTGAGTAATGAAATAAACGGTCCTCCATTTTGGAAAAAAAAATAACCTTCTTCCACATCTACTATATAAATTTTATTGAGTAATGAAATAAATGGCCTCCATTTTCAGAAAAAATAAAAAATACTAGGTGTGGAAGAAGGTTATTATCTAAATTTTCATAGCCCTCAGCTAGGACCTTGGCGGAGGGCTAGTTATTAGCTGGTAGTAGGATGAAAATCTTCATACTAAGGGGCTTGAACCACTAGTAAACCCTGTCTTTTCAAAGTAGGTTGTTAAATGAGTTAGCGGGTCAAAGGAGTACTGGGAGATGCCCAAGTAGATCACCTGGGTTTCATTCATACTCTGACATGTCAGTGTGCAAACCACCTCCTGTTAACCCACAGGAATAACTCAGTGACCCAGTGACTCATAGGGAATGATAGAAAGTGTGACGACACATTGTTTCTGCACCCATGTAGTCTTCCAACGGGGGATACAGTACCACAGATGCCTGTAACACACACTGCCTCGTAATGGGTGGCATTCCGAAATGTCACCACGTTTACTTGGAGTCCATGCTTCTGTTCCCTGAAGGCTGTGCCACCATTCTGAGACTCCCTACTTCTAAATGGTTTTGTGATATGACCAGCAGACCTTGTGATCTGGGGCCCACCTATCTTTCTGTGACCTCCATTCAGTGGTAACATACTTTGCTGTATGGGGCTCCATGTCTGTGGATGAAGCATAGGAGTTTCCAGAGTGGGAGGGAGGTAGCTGAGACTTCACAAGCAGGAGACAAACCTGTATCAAGATGAGATCTATTCCTGCGAACATAAAATGCTGGCTTTGTAGAATGGAAGGGGCCTACTGTAGTCGGCTTGCTACCATGTAGTGAGTTGGTCTCCTTAGATTGATGCCTTAGATTCCATGTCTGTCTGACAAGTGGGGCATTTAGAGGAAATGGTAAGCAGAATTTCTCTAGGAAATAGCAGTCTGCGTCGGGTACACAGGTTATTTTCCGTATCTGCTACCATGGCTACTGTATGCATTTGCCCATTAGATGTGGAAAAAGTCTGGCTGATAACCAGTGGCAGAGCTATTTTGCCTTTTGACCAAAGAGACAAAATGCCTGGCTTGTGGGTCTTAACATGTAATATACAAATCCACAAGCCTTGAGCATCCGTATGTCCTGTCTCACACTTCTGATTTTTCCAGCCTTTTTATCCAGAGCTCTGACCAGAGAGCCCAAGCAGCGGTCACTGCCCAGGCATCAATAGGTGTTATAATCTTGAGTTGCTGCTTTTGCCACCAAATTTGATTCTTGGTGGAACATTTGGATTTGTCAGTTACTTTCCCCTACATTGCCTGAGGGATATGTTTACGGCTGCCACAGCCACAGAGTACAGCCAAGATGCTTTAAACATTGTCTTCATCTAGCACTTGAGAAATAATGGGATCTTTTTCCTGATCCCAACAGTTTCAGTGATGCCAGAGGCTTTTAAATGCCTAGAGAGCCCTGGCTTGTGGCTCAGGAAGATACCTGCTGTTGGTGTCTGTGCCCTTTGGATAAATATTGGGAGATAATTTGATAATTAAGATACTGTTGAAGTAAAATCGTGAGTCTTAGCAGCAAAGTTAAAGGAAACAAGCTGCCCCATGGGTATTGCAGGATGTGGTCAGAAATGCCAAGGCCTGCTGGCAGACCTCATGCTGAGGATCAGGTAATGAGGCAGAGCGACAGCTGTCATTTTTCAGTGCATGGGGTGGTGGCAGGAAACCTGTAGAGTGGTACACCCTTAATTTAAGACCTGTTGGATAAAATGTGGTGACAGGAATCTCATTCTTTGCCTTCAGGATGGGATAGAGATCTATAGCAACAAGTTACATCAAAGGTCTGATAGCCTTTTACAGGGCTCAGTATTAAGTTCCTAATAGGTTAACAGTCCAAGTCGAAGTTCTTGTGAGAGGTGTGCACACAGACGACACAATATGCCTGCCTCCCTAGTCCCTGGGTCAGTTGCTGATATGTGTCCAGAGTGAGGAACTGCTATGTCATTGGAGGAAATACCTAAATTGTAGGCAGATGGCACCAGACAACCTCCATCATGCAGAATCACATCAGCTATAGTGGGCTGTAGGGTGCTCACAGGGGAGCGTCCAGTGAGCTGCCTCTGGTGTTAGGTTCAAGAACAATGCACCCTACTATGAAAAGCCTGCATTTTAAATGAACCAACTCTTTGGGAGTGAGAAAGTAGATCATGACACTTCAGCCTCCTCTGAGAGAGA